TTCCTCTCCTCTCCTCCTGAGCAGACGTGTGCTGCCGTTCGGAACATGTTCCTCACTACAGCGCGTTTCATCTGGAGAGGGTGGGCAGACTGGCAGTGCACGATGATGTTCTTGCTGCTGGGCTTCCTGTACCACTTTGTCGAGAGCGTGCCGCCCTGAATCTTCACCTGAATATTTAGGTTATGGGAGCCAGTTTTCTGACAGGTTCTTCCCTTGTCAGTCTTATGTGCTCAGACTGCGAGTTGAGCAGGTCAAAACAGGCATCAGCTCTTGTTGTGTAGAGCAGACCACCAAACAATCGTCGATGTACCGGCAGTATAGCATGGGGTGGCGTTCCAAAACAGGCGCCTCTATCCTGGACATGAAGGCGATGGCCAGTGTGGGCGCTAGTCGTTGCCCCATAGCTAAGCCCCTGGTCTGCGCAAAGTATCTACCAGACAACCTGAAAATGTTACAGTTGAGACACTCATTGAGCAGCGTCATCAACTGGTGATAGAGAATCCCTGCAAGTTGATCTCGCCCTGGTGCTGATTTAGAAGCTCCCTTACGGCTTCCATAGCAGACACATTGCTTACGTTCGTGTACAGGGATTCCACGTCGAATGACTCCATAACGCAAGCACTGTTGATCTACAGTGCTTGAAGACGATCCAGGAGCATCTGCGTGTTTGTCAGGTGGGATGGTATATATCTGAGCAGCTGCACCAAGATGACATTGAGAAACCAGGCGATCCGGTCAGTGGGGCCACCAACGCAGCTGATGATCGGTCGAACTTTGACTGAGGTGGGTTCAATTGTTATCGGCCAACGCCCGTTCCGTGTTGGAATTGGGCCCCAGTTTCTCACCGTCTCACCCCATTTCCACCGGGGTGATGCGCAAAGTCGCATGTAAATTGCATGAACTCCTAGAGGTCGAACTCAAGTAGGGTGCAGAGAAATTTGATCGGACAGTTGCAAATCGTTCACTTGGCGTCCTTTTTCGACCGAAGACAAAACTCCATTACAGGCGACATCGAGTTTTCCCATCCCTTCATCACTCAGATTTAAATGGCCAGGTAGGATAACTCGTCTCCCGGTCGCAGCGTGGCGTATTACACTTATAGTGCATACACCTTGAGTTGTGTAAGCCTGCGGCATATAAAGCTGACTTCGTATCTAGAGACTAACATTCTATATTATTTAGCAAAACACTCACTGGCTACTATTTGCGGCTGTATCTCACAGTACTGATTCTACCTGGATGCATTTTTGGAACGATATTGGTCGCTATGGTACTCGCTTACCGCACCCACGACGAGTATGTCGCTTAATTATTTTTGTGAAGCTTTCATGAAATAGTGCATTCATTTATTGATAATGAGTTGCTTACAAGTTCTGAAGTTGCTGGTCCGCATTTACGTAACAAACCGAAATCATTGGTAAATTACAGGAACGTCATATGTTTTCTAGCGACAGCCATGCAAGGTCCAATACAGCAGAATCTCGTCAAATTAGCTCTGGTTGTATGCATACTTACTATGATGTGCTATGGTTCTTTCATATTTTTCCTGAAGAGAGTTCGCATGAGTAAGTGTTGATGATGGATGGAAGTTAGCAGATCCGAGTTGCGACGACAAGCGGAATCCTGCTCCGCGCTGCTAGCTTGTTCGTGGTGCATCTTACTGCGGGCCTTTCGCGTCAAATCGATTAGAGCGCGTTTATACTTTGCGATCCGATTGCTTGGGTCCTGCGACCGCGACTGGATCCCTTGAGCGTTCGAATCGCGATGTATGAAAGTTCTGTCAGGTCCAACTGCGCACATGAAGCGCCACCCACAGCGTCATTTTGCCGCCCTACTGTAACTTCAAACTCAGCTTACCTCCATACCGGAACGTGCTTTTGCTAGACGCGAGCTATCATTGAAGGCTTAACGGCTAGGTTTCCGCGCATCGGATCTGCAGAAGGTTGCCACAATAGTGTATCAGCTTAGGAAGAGTTCTCGCAGTTTATCACGTCAAATTTTAAGCGCGTATACCTCAACACGGATATTACTACCAAAACATTCTGCGATTAAGAAAAAAGTTTACTTGTTCAATTCGCATAGAAGTTGGCAGATCTAGATGGGACTGAATCAGTAAATATCATATGCCTAACGCATATCGTTGCCTTCCGAAGCACATTTCCGCGGAGAACTTGCTGCGATTCCGATGAAGTGGTAACCAGTGAGGGCTTGATCTGGTGAATAGGATAAATGCGGAAGTTTCGTAGTCTAGCTCAATGAATTCCTTTGCGGTAGACTGTGCAGTGTAGCAGCGCGTCGCCATGGTGTTGTAGCGGATTGCTGCGCTGATCCAGTGTCGTTCCTCGGTCCGGCGAGGCAACTGGAGTCCAGTTTCTACTCCACGTACGTTAACCAAGAGACGAACGCTTGGCTAACGTACCTGGAGTAGAAACTGGATTCAGTCCTCTGCCGTGGCTATTTATACGCTGATCCCGCCAAAGAGGGACTGTTAAAATGCCGAGTGGTCGGAGTGGATGGCGATCCTCGACCAGATTTTGAGCTGTTTGCCTCTGAGTCTCCTATAGAATGCCCGCTTAAAGTGACGCTCGCGAGCGGATGGCGATTATTGACCGGGGCTGGACTCATTGCCTTAGCAGCTTACTGTTAATCACTCAATCACTG